TGTGGTAATATTGCTTCTATTATGAAAGTAGATGAAAGTCTAGAACAAAAATTTACATTATTTGATGCTGTTTCTGATGAGGATAGACCAATTCCAAAGAGAGTTGTTGCTTCAATGTTTAACTAATTCAATTAAAATACTAAAATAAGTATCTTTTAATCTTCTTTTTTGTTATTTAAAAACAAAATAAATTATAAAAAATAAATTAATTATAAGATTAGTAAATATTAAATTAAATGAATATGAAACAATAAATTAAAAGATTTCAAGGGTATCTTGAAAAGTTATTGGTTATGTCTTGGGAAGATTTTGATATTGCAGAAGAACCTGATTTTGGAGAAACCACTTCTACATTAGCAGCTTTAGCACCAGAAACTAAAGAAGAAACAAAAACTGTTAGTAATAAAGAATTGAAAGAGGCAAAGAAAAATAATGTAAAAGTTGCAGAAGAGTATGTTGACCCAACTGAAGGAATGACTGAAGAAGAAAAGTCATTAGCCTTGAGAAGGCAACAAGAAGAGTCAGATATTAAAGGTGCAGAAAGATTATATCAAGGTGTTGATGATTTGCATGAATTAGATACTATGTCAGTCATTACTGATAAAGATTTCCAAAAGTATGGTAAATTATTAGGACTAAAAGGTCACTCTCTTTATAAAGAAAAGTCAAAACAATATAAGTTACTTGTTAAAGAATGTATGAGAGAATTAACTAATGATTTAACAAGTGTTGAAATTAAAGAATTAAGTGCTTATATGGAAGTACTTTTTAACCAACAAGTTCAAATAGAGAAAGAAGCTGATAAAAAGAAAAAGAAAGGAGGTAAAAAGAATTTAGCTAAACCTGCTACAACTGGAAAGAAATATACTGAAAGAGTAGAAGATCAACTCGAAGATGATTATTATGATGATGAGGATGAAGATGATTATGACTTCATGTAATTCTTCTTGAATCAATTTTTATTTATGAAATCAATTTCTTTTCTATAAAACAAATATATTTTAAATATACTTTTTGATTTTAACACTTGTTTTATATATGATTATTACTTGGTCTATTAATTTTGAACAAGTAAAAAATAAGTCTAATCATAAAAGCATAAAATATATTGAAAGAGTATTTAAACTAGTACAATAACCTTGAAATAAAAATACATTAGAACTTATTGAATATTGCATTTACTCACCTTCTTTGGTCTAGACTCTATGGCTCTAATATCACATATCAATTCTTCAACTGCTCGACCGAAGTTATCTATTGAAGTTGTTGCATTAACACTAAACACATGATGAAAACAAATGTCATTGTCTTCTGGTGTTTCTTTAAAATCATTTCTAACAATGACAAATCTTTTATATTTTGATGTTAATTTCTTTTCCATATCCATAACATATTCAAGAGACTTCTCTATTTGTTTTGAATAAACTAAAATAAATCCATCAGCTTTTTTATCATCAAAGTCACTAATTTGAATAAGACAAGGAACTTCATTAACTATTGAAGTTTTTCTATAAATATCAGCAATAGTATTATCTTTTTGTTCAACAAATTTTCCAAAAACATAATGAACAATAAGTGAAGTTTTTCCTACTCCAGTTATTCCAAGTACACTTATTTTATAATTGTTTTTCCATTTCTTTTCAATAATTGGTGAGTTTGAAGGAGTAATAACTCTTTCTGGAATAGGGTTGGTTGGTATTATTTTTGATTTTTTATTTAATTCATGTCCACACAAAGGACATTTAGCATTTTTTAAACACTCTAATGAAATAAGACATTCATAACAACACCGTGGTTGAATATGTTTTGCACAAAATTCACATTTAGATGGATTTTCAATAGGTACTTTATAACAAATTTCACAATAAATTGTTTGTGACATAACAAGAGATGTAGAATGTCTTGATTTAGTTGCATCACTTCTTCTTGTAACCATAATCTTTGGAGTAACTTCTTCAATAAGATCTATTTTTGCTCTATCTGGGAGAGTAAATTTTTCAGGAATAAGTTTAAGAAATGAAATAGCAATAAAACCACAAATCTCTGTTTCTTCATTACTTTGATTTAAACCTTCTCTATACCTACCAATAATCCATTCTGGTGTATTGATAGCAATTATTTCAATCACAGCATTTGCAGGAACTTCTAAAAATCCTGATTTATACTCAGGTGGAAAAGAACTAATTGTTCTTGCTTTTAATTCATAAGCAATAACACTATTAGGTACATTTTGACTTAGTTGAAATGACATAAAATTATAATGTTCAATATATACTGAAAGAATCATTGAGAATTTAGTCTGAAACTTAGTAGATGTTTTAAAAATTATCTTAGTAAAGACTGGAACAATTTTTTCTATTGGTATACGACTTAAATGAAGAAATTCAAATAATGAATATAATATTTCTCTTTGTTCTATTGGAATGAAATATAATAATGCCCGTAACTGATGTTTTTGAATTAATAAATTATTCTTCATAATCAAAATAGCATTGTTATTATATATCTCGGGAAAAATTGGTGATGAATGAACAAGTAAATAAATCAATAAGTCACGGAGTTCATTTATATTAGTTGATTTTATCATTTCTTTTACATTAACTTCTGTTAATTCCTTTATTTCATCAAAAAGATCATTTGGTGAAGGAACTCCAAGTTCAAGTAATTTTCTAATACAATCCTTTAAATTAGTACTATCTTTTTTTATTTATATTGTGAATAAAATACAAACAAGAATTAATTCATGAATATCACCCTCAAGATTCGTTATTTCTTCACTCATATTAAAAGAACTAAAATTTCTTTGTTTTTCTTTTCAGAGTCTATTGATAAACTAATAATATTTAATATATGTTTTACTATTTTAATTATTAAAACTTTAATATTAAAAAATACTCAATAACTAAATTCATTCATAATGTTAACACCCAATTGATTGGCTCTTTTCCTAGTTGTTTAAGATAGTCATTACATTGTATAAAATGGTTACAATTGTCAAAACCTCCTTTTGCTAATGGAGATGGATGTGGTGCTTTCAAACAACAATTCTTTGTTGAATCTACACCACTGGCTTTTTTTTGTGCAAAAGCCCCCCAAAGAAGATAGACAAGACCTTCTTTCTTTTGGCAAAGAACATTGATAATATCGTCTGTAAAATTCTTCCACATTTTTTCATGAGAATTAGATTTTCCTTCTTTCACTGTTAATGTTGCGTTAAGCATTAATACTCCTTGTTTTGCCCATTCCATTAAATATCCATGTTTTGGAATCTGAAATTCTGGTATTGTTCGTTTTAATTCTTTATAAATTGTCTTTAATGATGGAGGTATAGCAATTCCTTTGTTCACACTAAAACATAATCCATGTGCTTGACCTTTTTTAATATATGGGTCTTGTCCGATAATCACAACTTTTACCTGTTCGAATGGTGTAACGTTAAAGGCATTGAAAATTAATTCTTTCGGTGGATAAATACTTTCTTTTTCGTAAATTGCAGCTATATTTAATATTTCTTTATCATTAACATACTTCTTAAATACAGGCTCTAAGACTTGTCTCCACCCTGGATCAGTTAAGTATTTAAATAAAGGATGTTCCCATACTTCATTACTAGAAATTGTTTGGGGTTGGGTTGTTTTTTTTGTTTGAAAAAAATCAGTTATATCAGTCTTCCCTTTCTTACCATTACATCCTCTTTTCATATTTGTCTTTGGGATATAAGTTTTAAGTTTTTTTGAATTTTTATTTAGTTAAAATGAGTTTTTATTTTTATATAACATTATTTCTAAAAATAATAAAATGTAATTTAAAAATAATGTTATTTGAAATAAAGGTTTTACTAAAACTATATAAATCCAAAATACTTATCAACTAAT